TGTGTGTGTATCTTTTATTAGTAGGCTACATAATAATTCTATGTAAAGTATCAGGGGGCTATTCAAAGTAGTACCTAAAAGTACAGTACATAAGATTCAGAAATAAGTTGTATTTTTTTAATGTAAGTAACAAATAATTTGAAATAGAAATTTTTGATTCCCTATCATTTATAATAACATAAAATTATACATTTACAACAATATAAAAATATGCAATATAATTTTAACAGAACATGAGCGGATAAGACGTAAATAAATGAAGCTAATTCAGTAGACAAAGGATAGTATTTTTCAACAAATAGTGTTTTCAAACAATTGAATGTTCTTTTAAAAATAATTTCAATCCATATCCTCCACTATATTAAAAAATTAAGTGAAAACGAATCATAAACCTAAGTGTAAAATGTAAAACTATGAAACCTGTAGATGGAAATACAGGAGAAAATCTTGGCAATCGGGTTAAACAAGGATTTCTTAGATATGATATGTGATCCATAAAAGAACAAACCGGTAAGTCACACTTCATTAAAGTAAAAAAATTCTGCAGCAGACCTCTCCTGTCTCCCCCACGGCTCCCCTCAGCAGTGTACTTTGTCAATCTGCCTGTTCTGCTCCCCACTCTGTCTCTGGTGAATCTCCTTACTGCCCCTGCACCTCTGGCCTGTACCCTGGTATGGTGTGCATAAATAAATCAAATTATAATAAAAAAAAAGTACTAATTGCTTTAGAGAACATTCAAGCATTAGGCAGAACCCATGCCTTCAACCGATGCTTGAATATGAACATTTCCAAAGGCATGGGATTTCTCAGGCTTGTTCATTACTACATCTCCAGTACTTGCAGCAGTAGTTGATTAAAATGTTTGTAAAGACATGCATGAACCAATGAACATGAAAACAAAGATGATATGCTTTGAACAATGAGAAGACATGCTGTGTTTGTACAACTGTTTTAAGGCCAACAGCAGTTAAAAGGAGGAAAAGATTGGGGTACACTGAAATCAGAGAGGAAGTGGGATTTATACCTCTTAGAAGAAAGACCCTAGAGGGCTAAGGAAGGCAGGATCAGGACTGTCCAAAGACCAGCGATGGGAAGGACTTCTTGCAGCAGGAGGAGAAAGAAGAGGCTTGGTGCGACCCAGGAGAAGGAGCATGTAGGGAGAGCAGAAATTAAACTGAACGAGGAGTGTGAGGAGAGTGAGGCTGAATACAGAGGTATGGAAAAATCAGAAAATGTGCCCACTCGGGTGGGATTTATATTGTTTACATACCCATTTGAGCTTCTAAACTGAGTGTCAGAGAAAACAAATTCTAATTTTTTGAGACCAAAAAAATGTAAAAAGCAATGTGTGCAATGGGCCCAACTGCCAGTTCTGGAGCCAACATGAAGTAAAATTTGGGCTATCAGAAAGTCTTCAAGTTCTACATCATTTATTAAAATGAAGGGTTTATCAAAGTATAATAAAAGGCACGGGCTTAGATTCACTAGCAATTTTCACACAAAGATAAACCTTTTTCTTCAGTAAAAACTCACTTTTAATATCACAGCAGGGTACATTTAATAGATTTTTTTTAAAAAAAACATTGTAACTGTTAACTAATATTAACCAGAGAATGACGCTATTCGCTAATTCTGGAACACCTGGAAGTATGAAGACGTCAAAAGCTCCAAATGGCTCTTTATTAGACAGTCCCAGATTTGAAGACAGCTTCAGATAAACCTAACAATTGAGATGCTGTAAATATCCTTGCTCTTTCACCAATTTCAAACTATATTTAGTAGCATTATTTCCTTTGTTCAGAAGTTATTCTCTGTAACTATTTATTTATATTCTGAAAGGCAGAATACCTTGGACATAGTTAAACAAATGCACGGCTGCCTGAATGAACAAAGGAATGAATCATCACATGACTGTATTAAGATATCTGAGATCTGGTGATAACCTGCTCTGTGTGTGCTCCTAGATCTGCCTGGGCCAGGGTTAAAGCTTTTGTAAACATGCTTTCATATTTAGCAATAATCAGACTGAGATTAAAATGGAGCAGAGAGAGTAAGAATGTTTGTAAGGGAAGAACATTTGTAGATGAGGGGCATGGTGTTGATGAGAGCAGAGATGGATTTACTGTGAAGCTGACGACGTTTAAGTGTTGGGGTGTCTCATTTACACAAGTCCCTTCTGGTGGTCACAAGGAGCCCTGTATTGTTTGTGTAGTCAACTGCCTCCTTAAAATTTGCCAAACTGAGGTATTACTGAATTCATCCATCCGAAAGAGGGTTCTCAAAATAAGTTCAGGCCCCACACACAGCCTGAGTCTGCCCTGTCTGGGAGGTAGGGGACACTGGGAGCAGGAGGAACACTGAGAGTTACTGAGAACATTGTCACCACAGTGGGACTGGAAGCTTGGGTGCCAGTCAAATTTCTGGGTGACTTCTGGTTCTTTTATTAAAGAAACACAATTTTCTAGGCTCACACTTTTACATCTTCTTTGCAAATGAACTCACAGGAGACATTCAGCTGTTACAAACTTCATGTCAAGTCTTGAAGTGCTTTTTAATAGCAGAAATATTTGGCTCACGTGTGGCTTTGTAGCTATGGTAAATACCTCTTCGTTATCTGTCGCTACTGTTATTCCACACCTCCAATTTGGAGGAGAAATTCTGCATATGCATTGAGGCACTAAAAAAGGATATTAAACTACATCTTAGCTGTTTTGTGAATGGCTTCCTTTTATTTAACTCCTAAGTGGAGCTAATGCTTTCATCACAGTGTATTGGTTGTGTGTATGTGTGGGGGGGGGGGGGGTGCAGATGAGGGACAGGGGAAGTGCTTATTATTACATCATCCCTTGGCAGTTTCCTCTTAGCGTCTTGAAGGTTAAGTGGTCAAGGAAGCTCCTTAATGTGAGATCAAGGCATTTCAAGGACTGACTTATCCACCTGTTTTCTGGCAAAGTGTTTTAGCAGATTTTGGACAAAATACTTACGGTGAGTTAAAGGAAGAAACTGACCACCGTAAATATGAGATAAAGATGGGGAAAAACCCTCATGCTGGAGGTTCCGATGACTTCTGACATACAGCCACATTTACTGAAGAGATGTTTTGAGGAGCTGGGCCAATACATCAGAACAATATATTTCAAATTGTCATTTTTAAGAATCAAGAGAAATAGCGGCAAAGTACTAAAGAATTTTTGGATAGGTCCTGCATTGAACAGTGATATTTTCTTCTTTATATAATTTAATTACTTCATAAAGAGATAGAAAATATTATTGTACTCCATAAGTTAAACACTTGACATTTTCATTCCTGAAAATGCAACATTTTTAAGAGCCTAGATATGTTTATTAATTAGTGATTATTAACACCCAGTAAACAACATTATGTCTTGTAAAAACACAATCTCTCTTCACAGCATGATGCTGAAATCTATTATTTTCCGATTCCATATGCTGAAACACACTCAAATGGTCACAAATGACCTTAAGCATTAAATAAATGTAAATGAGGACAACACAGAAAATGTGCTTTTGATTGATAACTAAAAGACCAGGTTGAAAATCACGCCCCAAAATGAAGTACTCCCCGTAGAGGTATAGCTGTCTGCTCCGTGGAGGGAAGGCTGCCCTAAGAATGAAGAGCACACAGGTGAGAGGAGATTGCGCTTTCACCAGGTCTGTGAGAGGTTGTCCTGGGAAACAGAACTGGTTTGTTCACTTGTGCGGGAAGCAGAGCACGCTGCCCTGTGCCATCAGCCTAGCTGAGCAGGATCTAGAGATACGCCATTACATTCTCCAGCTAACACAGAGAAAAAAAATTATTGTGCTTCTATAGTCTCTTCTCCAATATATCAACACCCTATAGTTTTTTTCCCCTTAAATATTTTATTTATTTATGCATACAGAAATGGGGGACAGGCCAGAGGTGCAGGGGTGGTGAGCGGATTCACCAGAAACAGAGTGGGGAGCAGAACAGGCAGATGGATGAAGTACACTGCTGAGGGGAGCAGCGGGTGAGACAGGAGAGGTCTGCCACGCCATGTGGGCCAGCTCCAGGGGCGGGGATCGAACTTGCACTGAAGCGGCCAAAGCTTGGCTTGGCTTGGCAGTGCAGCACTCCACTTGGCAGTGGTAGCTACGAGCATGGTTGCTGTTCCCTTATCCCCTCGCCCCCCAAAACTGAACAGTTGGGGTAGAGAAGCATCAACATAAGTAAAATCAAAATGTCAGTGGGTGACAGATTAACAGCAATAAATGATTAATAGATTGCTCTTATTATATTTGTGATCAAGCATATAAAGGTAAAATGCACAAACACAAATATTTCATGTGAAAACTCATGCTTACTCATCCCTCTAGGTCCAACCAACAGGGCAGAAATAAAATATAACATCATAGAAAACACCATTGTGCTATTGTTTCCCCTGGTCTGGATAGGAATGAGCAGATTCTAAAAGAAAATGGACAGCTAGACTATTTGAAAGTGGTAGAGTAGCACAGGATTTCTTAATGTGGGCACCATGAAACTTTGGGTGACATGCTTCTTTGTTGGGCGGGGGTTGTTTTATGCACAACGGGGTGGTTAGCATCATCCCTGGCCTCTACCCACTATACCAGTAGTAATCCCTTCCCCCAAATCATGACAATAAAAAAGGTCCCTTGGGGCAAAATTTCTTCCCCAAGTTAAGAACCAGTGGCTACAGGCCTTCATAAGACAGACAGCCCCAGGCTGGGTTTCTCCCAACCTCATACTGTACACGCTCAACATTTAAATCATTCCCAACTCAGTGTTTCTTATCTATTAATTGAAGACAGTGCAAATTCTGCCCACCCCATTACAGGTTCTCGTAAGCATTAAAAACGATACTTTTAAAGTGTTAGGACAGTGCCTGACACACAAGAAGTACTCAGTGAATGTTAGCTTTTATTATTCCTAGTAATCGCTCATCATGCCAAGTAAAACAGTTTCCACTAGAGAGCTTTAACTAGAAAGATTATCTTACCTGCTTGATATCTTCGGAGTCTTAAACACACCGGCCTTCTGATTCCTTGTGATGATGTCTCTCACATCTATAGGTCATGGTTAAGAAAGCTTCTGCAGTGATGGTCAACTGGCCTCCCGGCTCCCAAAAAGGCCCACAAACAGATTCCCTTATCTCACCATAGACAGAGTCAGCACTGTGGCAAAAGAGCTGTAGGATGTAAAACAGGATAGAAGGACCTAGCCCCGACTCTAACAACCAAAGCTGATTTTCTTGACACAGGCATATCTTTTAATTCTGGGGGCTGCCGTTTTGCCACCGGTGAAATGTATGTTCAGGGGCCATGCTGGCAAGGCCCAGGTTAATGGGTGCTGGTGAAGAGTGAGAGCACCTTTGCTTAAGAGTTGGGGGTCCAAAGGCAGCCTGTGGGAGGGCAATTGCTGTCTTTGAAGTATTTCCCACATTGAAGTATTTCCAGTGTCCTAATGCTCCGAGGGAGGGTGAAGACGAGTAGCAGGTAGACTTGGGAGAAAGTGAGGTGAGAAAGATGGAGAAGCGCTTAGAGGTGAAAACTTGAGGAAAAAAACAAAACAAGGTCAGTCTACTGAATGGCCCCTTGAAGAGCTGTCCTTATAGGCTTGGCCTTGGCCTTTGGCCTGTAAGGACCTGCACGGAAGTTATTGAAGGTATGTCTTGAGGAGCTGGTCTTTACATTACACAACACCATCTTTACGAGGGGCCAAATCATGTCAAGTTCCAGCTCCAGGAAGAGCCAGACCTCAGGTCAACTAGCTTTGCTGCCGTTTCTGGACACTGCAAATCTCACAACTGTCCCTCTTTAGTGTTTTGCTCTGGTCATTGTGCAGCTTACACACAGAGGTGGCACCTCTAGCCAACAACTTGTGCCACCTATTTTCAGCCCTAACCTCTATTCCTGGCCTTATCATATTTTCCCTGGTTTTTAAATTTTCAATTGCCCTCATTTTTTCATTTATTTTATATGTTATATTCTTTATGTCACCATAAGAAGCTTCAAAATCCCTTGTTTGGAATAGGCAGGCTTAAATACACAAGAAATAAAATAATTCCTGTGAAGCTTGCAAGCTGAACTAAATTGGGCCCATGGGGAGGACACCAAGCAGACAGGCGATGTTCCCCTATTGCTCAGAAAAACAGATTTCCTGAATGCTCCAAACAAGCATTGGCCAAGATCTCCCTGTAAGAACAGAGCCACAGGACTTTTTAACCCAAGTCTCTGCTTGAAACACCAGGCACACCCATTTCTCCTCGGAGTGAATAAGCAGGTACTGTGACAGCTTTTTCCCCCAGGAGTGGGTAGGAAAAATCAATTAGGTCTCCTAATGAAGGGCTTTGTTGAGGTTTACAAAAGTGCTATAATGCAGACTTTTTTTTTCTGGGTGAACTTTCCTGTATGCAAATTAAATACCGTTAAATTACATTCATTAAAAAAATAAAAGAGACTAATTTGCCTACTTGTTTTGATTAACTAAAATGACACATCGGCCTACAGTTCTGTCTATTTCAGGAAGAAAGTATTTCAGGAAAGTCTTCTAAATGGAATGTCTTGTAGGAAAGGACAGCTGACATCTTTATTCTGAGAAGAACAAAATTAGTAAAGAGTCAACTGACAACTGTTTCTGATTAAGCTCCCCCACACTCTGGCCACACCCGGCTCAGCGTTTCCATGACACCCAACTGCATGCCATAATGGACTCGGTACACCTGTAGCGTCGTATGAGTACATGACTAATCTATCAAGCAAAACATATTATTTTGTTAGTGAAGGTAATACTTTTTATAAAATAGTCACAGGGAAGTTAAATTATATAACTCGGAAAACCTATTAATAATTTTTAGTAAACATCTTAACACTATATACTTTCATACAATTTATAAACTTGTGACTCTGGGGGTCAGGCTGAAGCAAGTATATGTATTTATATTCTAGAAGCTTTTTTTTTTTAAATGAAAAAATTCACAGTACTATTTAGGCTGCTTTATTTTTAGAACTAGGAAGGAAATATATTTTGTGGCTTAGGAGGTCTTTTTTACATTAAAACAAGTACCAAGAAGAAAAAAATGGCAATAGTGTATTGAAATATTTACCGTGAGAGATATATTCTGATATTCTGTTTCCCACCCTTTAGTTTAGATCAGATTTTGAGGTAGTTCCTCTGGTTGGCACTGTGTCCAATAATAGATTTTATCATTCTTCTGTGTTACCTCAGGGTAATAAAGGAAATGCAATCAAATCGAGTCAATATGTCCGGGAATGAACCAAATTGTGTTCTCTGAACTGCACCCACCTTTTGGGAGGCTTCAGAGGGAGGTGATTTCTGATTAAATGGACACAGAGCAATCATCTCCAATCTCCTCGTCTGGTTAACGAGAGTTCCAGAGCTGTACGATACGTGCTTGTGGCTAAAAGGAAACAAGATTCTTCAGGTTTTCATCTTAAAGTATGTTAAGGAGTTGGGAATTGGTAGATTTCTAGTCCTTGAATGTAGGAATACATTTTTGTATCATGACAATGAATTATTTTAATTGTATGCTATGCATACCAGTAGTGTATATTTAACTTAGTATAGTAGCCTCCTCCTGCAATCAGTAATTTTTCTACATATCAGGAGTTGTATATACATTTTGTATCTATGCAAGAAAATATTTAAAAATTATTAAGACTGTGATTCACAAACAATTAGTCTCTTGGTTTATATTACCTTTATTTTCACTGGAGCATCAAAAGTGAGGGTAGGAAATTATGAGATTATATAGAAATCCTTAACCTCCAAAGTTAAAAAAATGTTTGCTGCAGCATTATTTGCAAATGTAAAGGTTGCAAATATTCTTAAATGTGCTTGTCATTCAACTGACTGGTGATGATATCACAGAGGGGATCTGAACTCTGCTGGCAATATCAACTGTTATGTTCATGGACAAAAGACTTTTTCTTCTAGAGGGAGCTGAAACTCACCAGATCACTCCAATTTTTGTTGAAACAGAATGACTTTATGGGGGGGAAAAAACACACAAAACTTTCTAGTCAGGTGAACTTGTCTCCTAGTGCTGGTTCTTATACCCAGTGGTTATATAAATATGGTGAATTAACCATCTCAAAATAGCAATTAGAATTTCTCTTTTGGGTCCTCCCTGGTGGTGCAAGGGACTGAAGCACAGCACTATGAAGCTAACCACAGCTTCTGAGGCATGAGTTTGATCCCCAGCCAGAGAGCTAACCTACATGTCCCAAAAGAACTCCCCTCAGCAGTGTATTTCAGTGGATCTGCCTGTTCTGCTCCCACTCTGTCTCTGGTGAATCTTCTCACCCCTGTACCTCTGGCCTATATCCCAGTTCTTATATGCATAAATAAGTTTAAAAAAATAGAATTCCTCCTTTATAGGCTTAAGGGAGTGTCAGATATGATAAACCTGGTGCACAGTAGGTAACCTAATTTCCACCAATTATTTTATTTTCAAAGATTCATGTAAAATCCTTGGAGAAATGTAGAAGTTGGTGATAGTAACTAAAATATGGTTTGGCAATTAAACTTTAGTTCCTTTCCCTACTGTTCAGAACCAGTGAGGTGAACATTTATATTGCAGAATTTAAATAACTGGAAAGAATCAAAGAGCTTCTGCCCTGTAGATCTGCAGTGTCTTTTACACGCATAAATGTGCTTGAGCCATGGCACAGTCTGTGTCCCTCTAGGACAAGGACTTGCTCTGTCTTGTCCATGGCTGTAGTTTTAGAAGTCGCATATCATGCAATTAATGTTGGTTGAATTAATTTTAATTAGTTAGGTTAATTAATTAAAATTTAATTTCCAAAGCTATTCGCTGAGCCACTGTGAGGCAGAGAAGAGTCCACTCATGACTCACCTAAGTACTAGTAGTACTGCTGGCCCTGGCAGTGGAGGAAGGGGCCTGCACACGAGGCTCCAACATTTCCAAAGTCACAACCCTCCATAGTACCCAATTAAAGGCTATTGTTAAGTAAAATAATGTTAAGCTAGGGGTAGCTCCTTTAAAATGCAGAGTTTACCGTTTTCTTGCGAATCCTATACGCATGATCATGTTCACGACTGTGTATAATGTGAAGATAAAATGTTTGGGTCCAGAGCATGAACAGTGGATCACCATGCATTGCCATATAAGTATTTATTTATTTATGCATATAAAAACTGGGGTACAGACCAGAGGTGGGAGGATTTACCAGAGACAGAGTGGGGAGCAGAACAGGCAGAATGACAAAGTACACTGCTGAGGGGAGCAGCGGGCGAGGCAGGAGAGGTCTGCTGCGCCATGTGGGTCACCTCGATGGCTGGGGATCGATCTCATGCTGCATTGCCGTAGATGGCTTCATAGTGCTTATGTCACCACGGGGGCCCTTCTGCAAGTAATTTGATGTTTCCTAAGGATGGGTTAAGGCAGGCTACTTGTGTTGGGCACTCACAGGTACTGAGGGCACTCATAATTCATTAGTATACCAGAGAGGGCTGGTATCGTACTTTTGGTACACTTCATACTGAAGTGCGATCTTGCATTTTAGTATTATACTTTTTAATTCATTATGATGTGGAAGAGGCTTATCATCAATAGTAACTCAGTATACCATTTGACACCCCTTGCCTTATGTCATCACCATCACCAGCTACAAACTTTACTGAATAATTATATCTGGACACTTGGAGATTTTGTCCTTTCTTATACAAAGGGGAAGTACCAAAGAAAAGGGAATAGATATTTTAAGATAAATCTAAGGAACTGGATGAACCAAACGATTCCATTTCTAGTTTATCCTTTGTTCTCTTTGGCTACAAATAAAATGGCACCAGCAGGGAGTGGCAGCTCGCAGGTGGGGGAGCTGTGAGTTGGACACAGCAGTGGACCAACGAGAACCTCAGGGACGTCCACTCGCGAGTCGAAGGAACTACTTAGCACTTACAACATTCACTTAGACCTCAGGTCTTAATCTATTTTCAGATCTCTCTGCTTAATAAATCTCAAATCAACATCTAGTTTTTCAGGGTCAAGATAAGAGCTCTAAAAGACATAGCCAATCCATCTGATACATTTTAGGGAGATAATAAATACTTCACTTGGTTGATTTACTTCTATGATATAAAGATTCAGGGCTTATTCAGTCATCATTTCACATGCTTAAAAAGTAGAAAAATTGGAAAATAAAAAAAGAAATGTCAGAAAATGTTATTTTTTTAAAAAAGGTAAAAATCAGAATCTTCAATGCTAAGATGGTAAGACATATCTCAGTTGGATTCATTCAATTTGGATGCCTAGAACAACAAAAATAATTTTTTAAACGATCAGAATAATGTACAGGGCAATACTCAGATGTGATGCGCAATTGCCAGGTCGATTTTCAATTACATTTCACTGATGTATTCATTTGTTTCTTAATGTGCTCATCTTGCCCATTAAGAATAATTAGCAGCTTTGCTTAGAGATTTTCTGGCTTCTGGCAATGTTTCTCCCTCCCCCTCCCTTTTTGTTGACATCCACTTCTACTTTTTAGTAAGTAATTTTTGGATAATATCCTACAACTGCTATATAATTTAGGCTTCCTAAAAATTTAAAGGAAAGCTGTAAACAGTAATTTTAAATGAGTTTGTTTCAGTCTATATGCATCAACAGTATGTGATTCAGTGAATTAGTGATTCTTACAGAAAGTGGGCACGCAATAGGAAAAAATTCATTCATAGTAACTTCACTTAGTAAAACATTATGAGGAATGCCAGTTGTAAGCCCTGTGAGCAAATCAAGAATAACAGTAGTTATTGAAAGCAGAAAAAAATTTCCAATGTTGAAGGCTTTCTGCATGTCTCTCAATTAAAAATAAATCAGATTGTTTACATCAGAAAGAAAAAAGGCATATAAATACAGAATGCTACATATAAAAACTGGGCTCCATCAGGAAAGTCCTAAGAGATGAAATAAAACACACTACCAGTTTTGGTCTGCACCCTGAAAGGACCTACTTTATCTACATTGTAAAGTTCTTCCCCTCCTGCCCTTTGGCACCCCGCTATATTAAACCCATTGTAAAACCCAGCACAATAAAGCACTCTCAGGGCCGAGCTACTGAGGACCAAATGTTAAAAATCCATTTTCTTGGGAGGGGGCTGTACCAATCATTTCTTTGAAAGGCCGGCAGAGTGAATACAGAATCTGAGATTTCCTCTCTGGTTTCAAGAGCTGGCATGGCGTCTTTGCTCGGAAGGTGCGTTAATTAATGACATTAGCATCGCTTCCCTTCTTTGGAAGCGCTGTAGTTTAGCTCAATAATAATTTCAGGACAATTAAATTTACATACCGACTACAGATGCTTCCCATAGTTTGATAAAAGTTCTAATTGGTTTCTGACGTGATTAAATAAGACACCTGCTGACTTGAGAAAAACCTCAGATTGCTGAGCCCAATCTGAAAGTTTCTGTGACTAAAATGACCTCTTATCCAATAATCCTGCTCACCCCCCACCCTCACCCCCCCAAAAAAAAACATCCGCTGGGGCTGAGCCAGCATACCTGACTTCCTCTTGTTCTGTTCCCTGACATGTGGAGGAGGAGCACTGTGAAATGATACAGTGCACAGAATAACTCAGAATAAAGCAGAGTGAATGAAACAACATCAGGAATATTTTGAGAAACTTGCGACAGTCTCAAGATCATGATTAAAATCCTGCATTTTAAAAAAGGAAGCACCTTTTGTGATCTCTTCCCTTGTGTGAAAGGCCAAGCCTGTGATTGGCTGTTTTTCCTTCCTGAATTTTTTTTTTTTAATCTGCCAGGCAATTAGCTGGGTGGGGCTCTGTAGAGCACACAAGTGCTGCTGAACATTATTAGCTACTTGTTTCTCATACCTCTTTCCTCCTCTTTGAGCAGCCTGATGAAGCTGCTGCAAAATTTTATTTTCAAAAAAATTCATAACAGAGAATCAAAAACAGGCTTTAAGAAAGATGCTACAAAGAAAGCAAAACTGCTCTGGCATTGGGGCTGGGGGGGGTCTAAATTTCATATGGGTGGATTGCCTCCTTCATAATGCAAATGTAAGCCTCACCAAAAAATCCAAAGCAAATACATCATCCATATTTCCTCTCAATTTCTAACGGCTGTTAACTGCCCCTGAACAAATCAGCTCGATTGCTAAAGTAGCCACAAATTATGCTTGCTTTCTTAGTTAAAGTACAGTTCAATTTTCATGAACTCTGTGTACATATTAGTAAAGCATAATCTAATATAATGGGGTTTGAACTGTAATAGCATAGCAGCAAAAAAAAAAAAAAAGCAAGCAGGAGAAGAGATAGCTTTTATAATCTTAAATAAAAGGAAATAATGAAAAACTGATAGCTGTTTCCAGTGAAGGGTTATAGAGTCCTCAGCAATTAGAGCAGGGACAGCATTACTCAGTAGGCACATCAAAAGCACGAGAGGTAGTAATGATCAGGAAATTGGAAGTTCATTTTTGCAAGTAATACTCAATATCATAAATATTAAATAATTTATTTCAGACCAGAAAACTTCAATGGAAATAAAACAACAAGCATGTTTGAAAATGACTAAGAAACCCATCTTTTTGCCTTGAGTGGTTCACAAATCATAGGTTGCTTTAATGAGAATTGACTATAAAAATCTATCAAAATAAAAAAACACACTTAGTTGTGCCCCATGAATTCCATATATTTCTACTTTTTCTTAATTACTGATCATGTGTGTGGGGGGAACTCTTTTTTAATACCCCATGCTGTCTTTCTTTATATCAATTGTTACTCAGCCGGCAAAAGGGACTGAGCACAACAAACCCGTTTTCTATCTGAATAAGGATACTTCTGATGGCCTTTTCATTCCCATCAGTTAACAGAACTTCTTTGACATCTGCAGAAATAGCAACCTGAAAAAAAAAAAAAGGGAGCACAGCAAACAATGAGCAAATATGCTTGTCTGTGTGGAAGTGAAGACAGGAGTGACAAGCCTTCAGTATCATGCTTCCTCACCTATTTCTCTGTAACAATCTTCAATCTTTTTTCATTTTATGTCTGCATTATTTTAATCATTCAATCAAATCAGTCAATACTTTTATCATTCCATTTGCGGGAGCCTCTATCTTGCTATCATTCTGTTCGGTAATTGCATTGTGACAGCGGATGATGGTATTCTGAGAGGCTTTCATTTGTGGGCTTCTGTTTATCTAGTAGAGCCATCATACAAGGCTGTCACTCTGCCTTTCAGCTTGCTTCTGTCTGACTGCCTGATGCCCTTCATATAACTTTGCATTGCAGGCAGATGGCTTTGTGAGGGTAATTTTTTTGTGAGCTTTGACATGCTCGCACATTGGGCTGTAACCTCGACACATTGTGTAAGAGCGACAGGTTTGTCAAATGCCAATCAGTGTAACAATATGCTTTTATTTGTAGAGACATAAAAACTTGTCTAATGCACTGTGCTGCTACATAATATCTCCTGAATACATGACTCAGAACCCGGAGAATGGGGAACAACGTTCCTGAATGGCCAATCTAATTCAAAAGAATCTAATTACTGAGCGCTCTGGATCATGTTTGTTGGTGTGATAATGCAGGCAAAACATTAGCAGCTATATCATGGTGCTCCAACTGTGATTCGCCGGGCTATTCCTGTATCTTAGCAAATGGGACTATAATCTGAAAAAAAAAAAAAAAATGCTTTCGCTATGGCAAAGAAAGACTGCCGAGGCCTGGAATGTCACAACAAGCGATATTGACTACACTGAAGTAAAATGTTTCTGCTCATCGAGGCAACCATAAAATCAATATGATCCGAAAGTAAGTCAATCTAGAAGGTCTCTCAAGACCCGGCAGCTTGACCGCAGCTGATGCTGTTGACGGTTCTCTGACGCAGCAGTTGGAAGCCCTGGAACATTTTTCCTTTTGTTCCTCCCTCTGAATGGGATTGGAATTGAGAAAAGACCTACCATGAGCCCAGCCAAGCATGTCATGCCACCCCCTAGCTCACACACAGCAAGGTCCCTGAAAGAGAGAAAAGAAATGGTAGAACCCATACAAATTAGATGAAAATGGCCAGAGAGAGATATATGTTACAAGAACAAATTGCCATCTGCAGTTAAGAGCGGCGCTACCAGGAAGTTGTGGAGACGCGACTGGGCTACCTCATGTCGTTTTGCGTTTTAAAAATAATTATGAAATAGAAAAGTCACAAAGCAGGCAAATCAGTGGGGGTTCCCTCATTAGTGTTCACTGCAACATTACCACCGCTGAGCTGAAAAACCTGAGAAGGTTCCCTTTTTTCCCTTGTCAATGGCGCTGTCTTTTAGAACTAAACTAGCTAGAGTAGCAAAAGATAATTGTTAGGAAAGGATAACACTGTTAATCCACATTCATTCCTTCAAAAACAGTTAGACAAGTAAATGAAGAATATATATGAGTGTGTCTATACCTATATTATAGTCACACATACACCACACACACACACAAATAAATGCAATCTTGGATTTGAAAAAATTCTAAAACAAATGGAAACATTTTTGGAAAACTGAACTGCCCCCATCAAGAACAGTTACACAAAGAGCATTTAGCAATTAACACTTAAATCACAATTGACCCCAACACAACACAGTGAATAAACAATGCAGGGACATAATATGGTTAAGCCAGCAAACCCCGGCTAAGGTAATGACTGGGTTCTGACTTCGCCGCTCAAAAGTAAAGCGGCTCACAGTTCAAGCTGACAGTCTGGGGTAGCACTCTGCACTTACCTTCCCCTTTGTGCCTAAATATCAGCCCTCAACATGTGACATTCTCCCCCTGGCCCACTGCTTGCTGATTGGAGCTCGGTCAAGCTGAAGCAGAGCAAGATGAGCAAATGCCAGACTTCCAGGGCAGCTCTGCAGCCCAACGTGAAACTGCCCTGTCTTTATTATGTGTATTTACTTGGGACTGTTTCTTCTTCCCACTTTGGGAAGTTTATAACCTCAACAGGAAAAAAAAAAAGCATAATTAAAAGAGTGGGGGAGAAAGAAAGAAAAGGAAGGGTAGAAGAAGCCAAAGAAGGACGTTCATATTCGAAAACACACTTAATGAGTATTTAGTTGCTCTAAGCAATTATAGACTGGTTAGTAAATATGGACCCATAGAGCTTCAAAAAATACATATTATTGACCCAATCTTGTAAGTACATATTGTTAAAACACACACCATGATCACTAATGGCTTGTCTGGATTCACAATGGACTATTCAGAAGCATGTATTGGATGACTTTTTATAAAACGAGAACCAAAAAGAAAAACCCTTATTTCCTGGGTCTAACCAAAACATCTTAAGAATTTTTAAATAAAAGTTTTGTGGGGTTTTTTGCCTTTTTCCTATATCTCATCCCTGGGTTTCAACTAATAGTTGAAAACATTTATTTAAAAAAAAAATGAAGAGGAAATAAAGAAAACATTTATCTCCATAGCATGAACCTATAGCAGTAATTTGTATTTTACAAATACATATTGTTAGGTAGCTAAAAATGCCTTTATGACCAGGGGTGGAATGGCATCTTTAAATAATAGCTGGGGTGGGGGGGGGAGTACTTATTTCTCAAATATCCTGTAGTGACTTTCCTAGTAGAAGTTTAAAGAAGGTGTTTATTGTTGTTGGTTTTTATTTTTTTTTTTTTCTGACCTTCACAATCAGTAAAGATTGATTGGAGCTTCACTTTTGTTTCGCCCAAATCAAAGTAAAATAAAATGCCTTGAGTGGAAATCAAAAGCCTTTGACATAAAGCAAAAAGCTTGCTGTGCAATATTAGTACCCAAAGGCAATTCAGATATTTTTTTCAGAAGCAACATATTTTCACTACGAACGTCCCCCATTTCGGTTTTCTTTTCTTCCTTATACTTTTTAATAATTTGAGAAACATAATCATGGCAATCTTTAATATGCAGATATAATAACCATAAGTGGCGGATATATATATATTTATATATTTTATATATATATAAATAAGTAAATATATATATACTTAAGTGCAGCTTTGTACCTGAATATACTACTGTGCTTGAGGCAGTAGTAAGCCAAAACCTCTTCAGAGGGCCAGATGCCTGGAAAACACAAGAGGATAGACTTTTTGATTATAGAGTCTCTTCTCAATCATTCTCTAAAGCCATACTTTTAAGAAATGGTTTTTAAAAATAATGTTGAGCATAAGCTACTACTTGAATCAAACTTAAGATAATTATTACTAATAATGCGTCATCATTTAAGTTTCTTTTGTTGTTATTTTTATAGTGGTGAGAAAAAGAATCCCTTTCCCAGAAAAATGTCCCATATAAATGCTGCTAAATTTCAACCATAAAAAAAAAAAAAAAGAAGTTAAACTGCAGTGGTATTTAGGTGGATCTTCATCAACTACATATGAATCTTTTCAGTTAACAGACAGGATCAGTTGAAAACCTACTCCATATCCAGTCCCTGTTATTCAACGATAAATGGAAAACTTACTTGTAGAAGCAAATAATAAGCACTGAGGTCATTACCCCTTTTTGCTTGATTCCATTCCATTCTAATATGTTTTATTACATATAGGTTATTTTTCTGCTATTAAAAATCAGAATGTACTCTAAGGAATTTTAATTTTACCAGTTTTGGAACATTTTAAAATTTGTCTTACCCTTAAATACCATGAATGGGCATTTTCTGAAATTATCTTCTGTAGAAATTTGGTTTATAACACTATGCAATTTAGGGAAATAAGCTCAAACTTCCTCAGATGTATGCCACCACACCACACCTACCATAGGAGATTTTTACTTAAATAATAAACAAACATGCTTGGCAATTAAAGCTTCTAGTACTATAAGTGATTTTAATTTTGTTTTTTATATTTTAATTTTTTCTTTATTTTATACTTATATTTTCTGTATTTTCCAAAAATTTTACAGTGAGTATATAACATTCTTGTAATCAGAATAAAATAAAAGTTAGGTTTTATATAAAAGTTAGGTTTTCCCCAAGTGGTCAGACTCAAAGAGCAGGCAGGGTAGCAGGTATCCATGCCCCCTAAGGGTGAGAATGCCCAGCAGTCCTGGGGAAGGGCAGTAAACACTCACTGCCTGGACACTAAATACTCTTCTAAGGCGTTTTAATGCAAAGTTAAAACCATCTAGCAAGATTTAATCTTTTCCTCCTAGATGCATCTCCACCTAGGAGGAGTAAGACATTTGAACATTTCAGAAAGGAGGATGCTAAATAAATGGTAACTAAAATCCTTATAGGAACAATGGGTAAAGTTTGTGAACAGCACAGACATGCTCCATAGCATTTGCTGCAGGAAACGACATTTGGGTGTAGCCACTAGCTCAGCCTCTAAGGCACTCTAGTAGAAATGATAGTCTGGAGAGAAACAAGAAAAACCTGTAAGAAGTGTCTGGAGCCCTTTTGGGGAACAAAGTCAGGGAAGCAGTGAGTAGAGGGAAGTAGTTAAGATCACAGGCACTTGGGGACCAGATTCACTGGCTCCAGTTCCAGCTCTGAATTTCCTGAGTGACAGTGGACAGGTTATTTAACCTCTCTGTGCCTCAGGTTCCTCATCTGTGAAATAACATAATTGGAATAGCAACCTGACAGGATTGTTGCGGGGATTAAATGAGTAAAACAGATGAAATGTACTTAAAATACTTCCTAACTAGGCCCTCCTTGGTGGCGCAGCGGGTTAAAACACAGCACTGAGAATCTAAAGCCGCTTCCGCATGAGTTCGATCCCCGCCTGCCCCGGAGGTGACCACATAGTGTGGCAGACCTCTCCTGACCCACCCACTGCTCCCCTCAGCAGTGTACTTCGTCGATCTGCCTGTTCTGCTCCCCACTCTGTCTCTGGTGAAGCCTCTCACCATCCCTGAGCCTCTGGCCTGTACCCCAGTTCTGTATGCACAAATAAATAAATCTTTAAAAAAAAAATACTTCCTAACTCATAACAAGCTCAGAGAAAGATATAGTTGTTAATGTTATTCTGCAAAAAGGGTTAGGAGAGAGGAAGAGAGAACACATAAACTCAAAACAATTTCCACCAACTGTAAGGGAGGGAGCACCTTTTTAACCTGCCCCTACTCATGAACTTTGACATAATTCCAAAGTCCTACTATCTGGCATAATTCTCCATAAAAAGAACTCTATGCAGATAGAAGTACATATTAAAGTCTCTCAAGGAGGAACTGAAGACAGGGTTCTACAATAAGTGGATATAATCACCCAATAGTGAATTTCTTTATGCCTTTAGTAGGTAATTTTGAGGTTTAAAAGGTAATGATAGGGGAAGGGTGTTTAACTAAAATTCAAGACTTGATTAAGTATAAAAATATGACTTCTAAAATGCAGTCTTCTAAGAGTTTCATAATTTTCTCAAAAAATTGTCGAAGTTGACTTTAAACTAATCTAAATATTAAACATGCAAAGAACAAAGTTCTTTAAAAAAGCACCTCAAATTTCCCCACTAGTACATATTCACTGTTAACATTTTGGACCTAGTTCCAAAACTCCTCCTAGTATAAAGGTATTTTATACAAAGGGAATCTTCTCATGCAGGCATTCAATAACCTGGTTTTACTCCCACTCAACATGGAATGGATAGGTTCCCATGACAATAAAACTGTACTGTATCTGTTAAATTATTTTTATGACTGCCTGGATGTATGCATCATAATTTATTGAATCAGTTTCTTCTTGGTATCTGATTAGTTTTAAAGTTTTTGATATTTTGAGATTATAAAAAGTATATCATGAAGACACATTTTTTTTTTAAAGATTTATTTATTTATTCATACAGAACTGGGGTACAGGCCAGAGATGCGGAAGGTGAGAGGATTCACCAGAGAGAGAGAGCGGGGAGCAGAACAGGCAGATGACAAAGTACACTGCTGAGGGGAGCAGCGGGCGGGTCAGGAGAGGTCTGCCACACCATGTGGATCTCCTCCGGGGCAGGCGGGGATTGAACTCATGCGGAAGTGGCTTTAGCTTCTTAGTGCAGTGCTTTAACTCGCTGCGCCACCAGGGAGGGCCCAAGACACATATTTTTTAACCAAACATGTGATTCACTTCTTAGATATGGGAAATACAGCAAAGATTAATGCATTTCATATTGCTATGTACCAAATAGTCTTTCAAAAACTTCATCCCCCGTGTGAATATTTATTTCCTCAAACTTTGCCAAGGTAGTTTTGTCAACCTATCTTATTTTTTGCTAATCTGTTAAGTTTTTAAAAAGTTATCTCTTACTCTGATTTGTCTTCAGATCATATAAATCTTTCACCCTTTTATAAGTTATCTCAGTGCCAGTCAAAACCACTAGATATTACTACTTCACACCCTGGCGGGGGAGGAGTTATAATCAAAAAGTCAGATAATAGCAAATATTGGCAAGGATGTGGAGAAATTATGTAAAATGATTCAGTCATTTTGAAAACCACCTTGCAGTTCCTCTAAAAGCTCAGTGTAGAACTATCACATGACCTCACTTGTCTACTCCTAGGTATAAGCCCAAGAAAAAGCACGTGCACACAAACACTTGTACATGAATATTCACAGCAGCATTAATCACAACAGTCAAAAAGTGGAGAAAAATCCATCAACTAATGAATGGGTAAATAAAATGTGGTGTGTCTGTGAAATGATGATCACTTGATAATGAAAGGAAAAAAAGTCCTGTTCCACACTTCTGCATGTATGGAATTGGAAAACAGAAGAGAAACAAGCCAGTCACAAAGAGTCACTACATTGTCTGTGTCTATTGACATGAAATTTCCAGAATGAGCAAATCCATAGAGGCAGGGTGTGGAGTGAACATTGTCTAGGGCTGGGTGGTGAATGAGGAGTGATTGCTAAGACTATTAGGTTGCTTCCAAAGGTGAGGAAATACTCTCACATTTATTGTGATGGGGGCTAGAAAACCTTGTAAATATATTCTAAGTAATGAGGTGGACTGCACAGTACGCGAATTATATTTCAACAGTAAATTTAAAAAGATTTCTCATTGTTGGCCCTCCCTGGTGG